TCTCTCTCTCTCTCTCTCTCTCTCTTCTAAGAAGAGAGCGAAAGTGGACGACGGGTCGTGTGTCCAGGGGTGGCTGCGTAGTCCTGTGCCCGGCGGACGTCACGAGCTAAAAGCACCGTGTACTTCTACTTCTTTTAGTACGGGATTTCTTTGAGTGTTATTCGTTTTTACGAAATACATTTTGTTTCGGTTTCTAGTATTTATTTCACAAGCTAATACGAATGTCACGGTGTCTCACTCGAAGGTTTCGTTGTTCAGAATGCCAGAGTGTTTTATGCCGAGATGCGGGAATCCAGATCAATGAGATTTTGTGTCCATGACATGTAGCGGGACCTCTCGCCCCCAGGGTAACTCCTGGGTAGAGAGTTTCCCAGCCTTGAAAGGAAGTCGAGCAGACTAGGAAAATTAAGACGATTAGATTAAAAAAAAGCACAGTTTTGTTTTTCTTATTACTACAGATTATATTTGGGATTTTTTTTGAAGTACAAGATTTTTTTTTTTTTTTTTTTTTTTTTTTTTGTAATACAAATGATCAGATTTTGTTAGAACTGATCATATTCTGTTTTAATAAATTTGGTTTTGTTATTTTTTAAAATATACACACTGTTAGGACACACTCACACTATGCCTGTCCTGGATGTATCTGACCGCAATTACGGCCTCATCTCATTCTGAAAAGTCCTAGACCCTGGATGAATCTATGACAGTAATTACGTCCGGAGCTCATTCTGAAACGTCCAAGACCCTAAATGTATCTGACCGTAGTTCCGTCTCGAGCTCATTCTGAAAAGTCCTAGACTTGAGTTTAATGCGTACGCCACACTCCCTCTCCTCTCCCCCCCCCACCCGCTGCATCAATCCCCCCGTTCCTCGCCTCACGGCCCCCTCGCAACACCTCCGGGACCCCGGCTGCTCCCCAGCCTCCCGATCCCGCTCGTCCACGGCTCACCCTTCGAAACGGTTTTCACCTTTTTGCAGACACAGATGCGGATCCCAGGGCTCGATCCCCAGACCTCACCTTACCTTACCTTGCCTGTGTACAGTATCGAGTCGACCGGTGAGACTTGAACCCCTGACCTGTGTGGTAGTAGTTGAAGTTGTCTGTCGTAGGTCCGAGTAGTTGGAGGGTCTTT